CTCCAACCTGGGAGTTCGAGGGAGGGCCTGGAAGATTTGCTGCGGCTTGGCTGGGAGCTGTGAGACTCAAGGTGGACCTCAAGGCTTATGCAATGAGAGGAGGCCGCGGTCTGAGATGGAGAGAGACGTAGGCTGGGCAGTTTGCAGAGAAGAGTAGAGAGAGCCCAGGTTGGGGCATGTGAAATTAGAGATGCTGGTGAGACCTCCAGGGGTCTGGAGCAAGGGAGAGCTCTGGCTGGAGTGGCAAGTTGGGAGCCGTCGGTGCGCCGATGGCATTTAAAGCTGTTTGTCTGGATGTGGACACCCAGGACAGCACTTTTCAGATGTTACCCTGCGCATGAATCTCCAGGGGATCTTGGGAAAGTGCAGGTTCCCATCTGGCTGTCCTGGGCCAGGGCCCGAGAATCTGCAAGGCTAAGAAGCTCCTGGACAGCAAGACCACACTTGGAATAGCAAGGCCCAGGGCGCAGTCTTTCACAGCTGGGACTCGTTGGTGGGCAATGAAAGCGACGTCAGCGGAGCAGCCTGCAGGCAGTAGTGAAAGGAAGGGCAGGCATTGCAGTCGTGGGGCCCACTCAGGTGTACAAACTGGGTTTCCATCATTTGAGCCAGACTCCGGGGTCTATGCTAGGGCATGACATCAGGGTCATAAATGTCTGAGAGAATCTGACTTGGGAGTGAAAGAAAACAGAAAAAAGAGGCAGCTGGGACCACACCTGCAGGAAGGAGGAACTAGGGAGAAGACAGATATAACAACCAGGGAGGTGGAGGGGAAACCAGGATGGAACGTTCTGGAAACCAAGGGAAGAAAAGCAGGTCCAGATTTAAATTTTCTCTCATCTCCTATCACCTTGCACACCCAAGCCTCAGTTGTCGAGTGGGGACATGACAGCCACGGCCCTTAAGATGTCTGTGAAATAGCTCTTGGCGCCGAGCCAGGGCAGCAGTGTGTAGCCCACGGAGCCATTCTGAGGCTTCCTCCAGGCCAGCAGGCTGCCCCCTGCTGTGTGGATGAAGAAATCGAGCCCCGGTAGGTAAGTCTTGCTCTGGCTGGTGCAGCCGGCCTGGGCGCCCTGACTCCTGGCTCAGTGCTCTCCCTCTCCTCTGCCCACTTAGGTCTGGCCCTGCCGTTATCAGCTGTCCCTGGCTCCAGGCCGGTGCTGGAGACGAAGAGCCGCCTGGGGGGTCCCTGGGGACCGCCTGCAATTCCTCTGGTGGCTAGCTGCCAGGGTAGACGTGCTCCATCCCTTCCTGCAGCCCCCGGCCTTCCCACCAGCCAGGGGAGGAAGGAGCAGTGTGTGCACATCTGCCTGCCGGGGGTCTGGCCCAGGGCCTGGCCGCCCGCCATGGGGCTCCCCGGCATGTGGACAGGCGGCACCTGAAAGCATCGGCATCAGCCAGAGCCCCCGCCGGAAGCAGATGGCATGCTCCCAGGGGCCACCTGGGGAGGCGGGGGCGAGGGCCACAGGGACGCTGCAGACCCCAGGGCTGGCAGCGCCAAGGGCCATGACTCCGGTCTGAAGGGGTGAGAGGAGCCAATTTTATAGCCAGGCACGGTTGTGGCCTTCAGTGGAGGGAGGAGTCAGGATGAGTCTCCCTTCTCTCACATCTGCTCTGACCTCTGCAGGGGCAGGGTGGGGGTATCTACAGGCAGAGAGAGCATCTGGGGTCACACGGAGGACTGCTAACCCCAGGGCAGAGACCCAGGCAGGACTGGCCTCTTCTCCTGGGGAAGGAGCAAGGCCACCCCTCTGTGCCTCCGTTTCCCTGGGCCTCCCTGACCCCACCCCTGCCTTACTTCAGGGAACCCCGTGCTCCTGATAAACATATGTCAAGGGCCCCGAGTGCCAGGCTCTGTGCTAGGGAATTAGCACTGACCGCCAGGACAGCAAAGCCTCTGCTTTCCTGGGGCCTCCAGGTGAGTGGAGTGACACCTGCAGGTAAAGGGGGCCTCCTCTCCACCCCCAAACCTCGGGGGCCTTAATCTCTTTAGTCCTCCAGGAGATCTTGGGGGTCAGGGCTCCAGGCCCTCCTGTACTACTGGTAGGTGTCCTCATCCTGGAGGTCTGTATGAGTTCATCCTTGTGCCCACCTGAAGTCTCCGGCTTCCTGGGGAACCCGCAGAGCCTTGTTTATAACGTGCGTGAGGACGGATATGTGGCATCGAGGGAAGTGGGAGACAGGGAGGTTCGGCTCCCTGTTACTGGCCGGGATGCTCCCGACACCCACTCTGGACGCCGATAGCCCACCCGAGATCCCCTGCAACGTCTGTCCCCACCCCCATTTCTGCTTGGGGGATCGTGGTGATAGGGAGGGAGCAGGAGCTGTGTTTGTCTTGTTTTGCAGGCAGGGAAACTGAGGCCCTGGATAGGAAAGGAAGACCCCCCACTCT